CTTAGGTTAACATTAAGATATCCTAGGTAGGACATTAAGATATCTTAGGTTAACATTAAGCGATATCCTAGGTAGGACATTTAGATATCTTAGGTTAACATTAAGATATCATAGGTAGGACATTTAGATATCTTAGGTTTACATTAAAATATCCTAGGTAGGACATTTAGATATCTTAGGTTAACATTAAGATATCCTAGGTAGGACATTTATATATCTTAGGTTAACATGGGGGGATATCCTAGGTAGGACATTTAGATATGTTAGGTTAACATTAAGATATCATAGGTAGGACATTTAGATATCTTAGGTTAACATTAATATATCAGTAGGACATTCAGATATCTTAGGTTAACATTAAGATATCCTTGGTAGGACATTTAGATATCTTAGGTTAACATCTAGGTAGGACATTAAGATATCTTAGGTTAACATTAAGATATCAAAGTTAGGACACTTAGATATCCTAGGTAGGACATTAAGATATCTTAGGTTAACATTAAAATATCCTAGGTAGGCATTTATATATCATAGGTTAACATTAAGATATCCTAGGTAGGCATTTAGATATCTTAGGTTAACATTAATATATCAGTAGGACATTCAGATATCTTAGGTTAACATTAAGATATACCAGGTAGGCATTTAGATATCTTAGGTTAACATTAATATATCAGTAGGACATTCAGATATCTTAGGTTAACATTAAGATATCCTAGGTAGGCATTTAGATATCTTAGGTTAGCATTAAGATATTCTAGGTAGGGATTTAGATATCTTAGGTTAACATTAAGATATCATATGTAGGACATTTAGATATCTTAGGTTAACATTAATATATCCTAGGTAGGACATTAAGATATCTTAGGTTAACATTAAGATATCCTAGGTAGGACATTTATATATCTTAGGTTAACATGGGGGGATATCCTAGGTAGGACATTTAGATATCTGAGGATAACATTAAGATATCCTAGGTAGGACTGTAAGATATCTTAGGTTAACATTAAGATATCATATGTAGGACATTTAGATATCTTAGGTTAACATCTAGGTAGGACATTAAGATATCTTAGGTTAACATTAAGATATCATATGTAGGACATTTAGATATCTTAGGTTAACATCTAGGTAGGACATTAAGATATCTTAGGCTAACATTAAGATATCCTAGGTAGGACATTTAGAAATCTTAGGATAACATTAAGATATCCTAAGAAGGAATTTAGATATTCTAGGTAGGACATTTAGATATCTTAGGTTAACATTAATATATCCTAGGTAGGGTAGGCATTTAGATATCTTAGGTTAACATTAATATATCCTAGGTAGGACATTAAGATATCTTATGTTAACATCAAGATATCATAGTAGGACACTTAGATATCTTAGGTTAACATTAAGATATCCTTGGTAGGACATTTAGATATCTTAGGTTAACATCTAGGTAGGACATTAAGATATCTTAGGTTAACATTAAGATATCCTAGTACGGACACTTAGATATCTTAGGTTAACATGATGATATCCTAGGTAGGCATTTAGATGTCTGAGGTTATCATTAAAATATCCTAGGTAGGACATTTAGATATCTTAGGTTTACATTAAAATATCCTAGGTAGGACATTTAGATATCTTATGATAACATTAAGATATCCTAGGTAGGACTGTAAGATATCTTAGGTTAACATTAAGATATCATATGTAGGACATTTAGATATCTTAGGTTAACATTAAGATATCATATGTAGGACATTTAGATATCTTAGGTTAAGATTATATCCTAGGTAGGACATTTAGATATCTAGGATAACATTAAGATATCCTAGGTAGGACATTTATATATCTTAGGTTAACATTAAGGGATATCCTAGGTAGGACATTCAGATATCTTAGGTTAACATTAAGATATCATATGTAGGACATTTAGATATCTTAGGTTAAGATTATATCCTAGGTAGGACATTTAGATATCTTATGATAACATTAAGATATCCTAGGTAGGACATTTAGAAATCTTAGGATAACATTAAGATATCCTAGGTAGGACATTAAGATATCTTAGGTTAACATTAAGATATCCTAGGTAGGACACTTAGATATCTTAGGTTAACATGATGATATCCTAGGTAGGCATTTAGATGTCTGAGGTTATCATTAAGATATCCTAGGTAGGACATTTAGATATCTTAGGTTAAGATTAAAATATCCTAGGTAGGCATTTATATATCTTAGGTTAACATTAAGATATCCTAGGTAGGACATTTAGATATCATAGGTTAACATTAAGATCTCCTAGGTAGGACATTTAGAAATCTTAGGTTAACATTAAAATATCCTAGGTAGGCATTTATATATCTTAGTTTAACATTATGATAGTCTAGGTAGGCATAAAGATGTCTTAGGTTAACATTAAGATATCCTATGTAGGACATTTAGATATCTTAGGTTAACATTAAGATATCAAAGTTAGGACACTTAGATATCTTAGGATAACATTAAGATATCCTAAGTAGGCATTTAGATATCTTAGATTTACATTAAGATATCCTAGGTAGGACATTTAGATATCTTAGGTTAACATTAAGATATCAAAGTTAGGACACTTAGATATCTTAGGTTAACATTAAGATATCCTAAGTAGGCATTTTGATATTCTAGGTAGGACATTTAGATATCTTAGGTTAACATTAAGATATCCTAGATAGGACATTTAGAAATCTTAGGTTAACATTAAAATATCCTAGGTAGGCATTTATATATCTTAGTTTAACATGATGCTAGTCTAGGTAGGCATAAAGATGTCTTAGGTTAACATAAAGATATCCTATGTAGGACATTTAGATATCTCAAGTTAATATTAAGATATCCTAGGTAGGACATTTAGATATCTTAGGTTAACATTAATATATCCTAGGTAGGACACTTAGATATCTTAGGATAACATTAAGATATCCTAGGGAGGACTTTTAGATATTTTAGGTTAACATTAAGATATCATAGGTAGGACATTTAGATATCTCAAGTTAATACTAAGATATCCTAGGTATGACATTTAGATATCTTAGTTTAACATGATGCTAGTCTAGGCAGGCATATAGATGTCTCAGGTTAACATAAAGATATCCTGTGTAGGACATTTAGATATTTTATGTTAACATTAAGATATTCTAGGTAGGACATTTAGATATCTTAGGTTAACATTAATATATCCTAGGTAGGACACTTAGATATCTTAGATTAACATTAAGATATCCTAGGTAGGCATTTAGATATATTAGGTTAACATTTAGGGATATCCTAGGTAGGACATTAAGATATCTTATGTTAACATTAAGATATCATAGTAGGACACTTAGATATCTTAGGTTAACATTATGATATCCTAGGTAGGCATTTAGATGTCTTAGGTTAACATGAAGATATCCTATGTAGGCTTTCTGTACATATCTTTTGGTCAAAGTTTTAGTAACATGTATACAGGAGCATGTAATATATGTAATACAGGAGTTGTTACTTGTGATTGTGTTCATACTAGAGCTGTCGGCATGCTTCTTAGAGTGGTTAACAAATACTACACTTTACCAAACACTTGTGAATTTTTCAAGTTACTACACTGAATAATATGGAATGAACTTCACATGCTATATCCTGATTTTATTCAGTTTTTACTTTTAAATTTCTGAATGCATTACACACACAATTAGATGCTATAGTCAGTTCTATTTTACTTAACATGTTGATGCTATACATGTTTTTAGTTTTATTTCACTAGACAATTTGATACTGAATTAAGTCATATTTCTCTTAACAGTTTTGACCAAGTCCTTCTGAAAAAGAAAGGTTTCTAGTGTGATATTTTTAAATAATTATAGATTGCTGGGATTTCAAAGGCACAACGGTTAAAAGTGTTAAAACCTTCAAACAATTTTTAAAGAATCCCGAAGTTATGAGTAATGATGTTCAGTGTGTATATGGATGAAGGACTATCATGTTTGTTCTAATCATGTCCTTGATTCACTTTCAATGTCACATGGGTAAATTGTATTCAAAAGTTCAACGGACTTCTGCCACTGAACTATCATGTATAGAGTTCCCATCTTGTCATCTATATCCATGAACCACTCATTGTCATCTCAAATCTGAAAATACAAGATTTTTGTATGGTTTCTGTCCATGAAAGGCTAAGTAATATTTTCATCCTTCATTGAGGACATTTAAATATTAAGTTAATGGTTTCATACATCAGTAAGAACCTTCTTTGATATATATATACTTATTAATGTTTTTGTATATATATATACTTATTAATGTCTTTGATGTATATATACTTATTAATGTTTTTGTATATATCTATACTTATAATGTCTTTGTATATATATATACTTATGAATGTTTTTGTATATATATATACTTATTAATGTATACTTATTAATGTTTTTGTATATATATATACTTATTAATGTTTTTGTGTATATATAAACTTATTAATGTCTTTGTATATATATATACTTATAATGTCTTTGTATATATATATACTTATTAATGTTTGTATATATAAATATATATATGTATATACTTATTATTGTCTTTGATATATATATACTTATTAATGTTTTTGTCCTTCAGTTAGGATATATTCTGAGTGGTATAACTTACCCATTTTTGTCATCTTTCATTTAGGATGTTTTATGATAGACAAACTTATTTAGGTTTTTGTTGTCGTTCATTAAGGATGTTCTATGATAGACATAACTTATTGATGTTTTTGTCTATAGACACAACTTATTTAGGTTTTTGTTATCGTTCATTAAGGATGTTCTATGATAGACATAACTTATTGATGTTTTTGTCCTTAGACACAACTTAAGGATGTTCTATGATAGACATAACTTATTGGTGTTTTTGTCCTTAGACACAACTTAAGGATGTTCTATGATAGACATAACTTATTGGTGTTTTTGTCCTTAGACATAACTTATTGATGTTTCTGTCTTCAGTAAGGACGTCCGACTGCCTGTCCAGTTACAGAGAGCAATGGCTGCTGAGGCTGAGGCTGCTAGGGAGGCCAGGGCAAAGGTCAGTAGGGGTTAGAAGTCAAAAGGAATTGGAGACTACTGGAATGTAAACTGATTTTACGATATTTCAATTGCTTTAATAATTCTTCATACATGACATTTTAATGAGTACTGCACACACAACATTGCGGAGATTTGTTACTGGCAATAATGGGGCCACCACATTCAGTTTAATACATGTACTTATGAGCACAAACTTTATAAAATGTTCTTTAGAAGTATTGTAATAATCTGAAAATTTAATCAGTTCTATAAAGTATGGTCAAAATGTGGATATCAAGATTGTCTAATGGAGCCACTCATGTGAATAATAATGAAACGCCCAGTGCTAATTAAAGTTCATTCTCTAGGTGTGACGCCCAGTGCTTAAGTTCATTCTCTAGGTGTGATGCCCAGTGATAAACTTCATTCTCTAGGTGTGACGCCCAGTGCTAAACTTCATTCTCTAGGTGTGACGCCCAGTGCTAAACTTCATTCTCTAGGTGTGA